CTGGAATGAGAAGGAGGATTGGGCTTGAAAGGGCCTCAAAGGTAGTCAAATTGGGAGGTTCCCGGTGGGGGGTCCTTGGACATAGAGAAAAAGTCTTGAACCCCTGGTGAGTGGTCTGATACAGAATTTCAAAGGGACATGAGCCATAGCAGCAAGAAAACCCGCTGAGTGTCTAGTATATAGGTGCTTTTTACTTCGGCTCATATAATTAAACTGTTTCTATCGATAAGAAGAAGGTTGTAGTTGCGCTCTTATCATAGTTGTGTTTCTTTAACTATTTTCTCATCTAAAAGACATCTAATGTAATAATCTACATTTTAAGACAGTTGGGTGTCAGCAAATGAATTACTCAGTCTTAGTGAAAAATATGGTGTTCTGTGTCAGCCTACACAAAGAGCGTCCATTCGGTCAAGACCTGGTCTGAAGGCCTCATCGTCCTCCTTACATATAGATTGAATGAGTTTGCTTGTTGACGAGATACTTACGGATTTGATCAAATAAATAAGTCGGGTGGAAGTCTGCCGCCGTCACTACTTCATTCTGCAGCTAGGAGTGCAGGTTTTTCTGTGGCAGCGCTTCAAGCAAACGGGGTCAGTACGCCGGTTATTTATCGTTATTGAGTCACAGTGTCACAGCACATTATATAATTTAAAAAGCAAGAAATATACTGCAAACGACACCACATTCAATATGATGCGTGACTTTGTGCGATCATTTCGTACTGCTGTAAAGAATTTGACAACTAAATATGCGACAACAGGCATTCTTGCCTAACAGCTGGTTTGTTCAGAAATGGACTTTGGATCGATCAAATGGCTGTTGACATGGGAGAAACTATGCTTTGAAAACAGCATTTTAGCAGTCTAATATTTTCCGCCCCAATCCGAAATCTTAGCGGAACGAAAACAAGATCATGAAGAGAAGTAATAGTGGGGGTGCTGGCGTTAATCTGCATTTCCCGATGCTCACTCGCTGGCCCGTGCTACGGCGTTCCTGACATTCACTGTTTGGGCTCTTGTTGAGTATTTTATACCGGCAGCACACTTAAGCAATCAAATCATACGCTCATAATTGAGAATCACGGTCGATTTTAGGCGCTTAAACTCATATAAGAGATGTGTGAGCGCATGATGGGACATAGTGAGGGAATCAAGATTGGTCAGCTGGGCAGGGTATTCGCTTGTGGTAAAATTTGGATAGGCAGTGGACGCAGCAGTTGGGATAGCTCAGGCTCTATTAGCACTTGAGGGGCAAGCGGCACCGTATGATGTTTAAGGTAAAATGGGTTTTCGACCCTGTGCAGAAATATTGCATTCTCAGAACAATTGATGACATTTTTTATCTCCCTGCGCGGGTTCCCTTTATGACGTAAATTAATTTGGGATTCATTTTTGGATGAATTACTTTTACTGCTGATTAAATGTTTTCAATTGTCGGAAACATTGCGGGGCTCTAAATTTGCATAATCTGTACGGCTTGCTGCGGATCAGGGGCCATAATCATGATGGATAGGCTAACACTAACGTCGATGGAAGTCGAACTTGTAGCCTTATGATTTTCTGTGGTTTGTTCCTGGCGGACGGCGTGTTTTTTTATCTTCCAGCGGTGCATATCAACTCAAGCTTACAACTAAGTGAAAGAGGTGAAGAGGGAGAGATATTGGTGCGCACCCGATGACATGCACTCACACTTCCAGGCAACACATCCGTAAGGTCGCTCCCCGCTACCATCCGCGCCGCAGCGCGGGCCAGAATTGGGAGTGCCCTCGGCCTCGTTAGACGGTCGCAAAGAGGGAATGACAATCACGCTTATCTTGACCCTTGAGGCCGTCTGAGATGCAAGCTGCATGATTTAATACAGTGGATTTCGGATATACACAGCCGTACTTTGTGAAGTCGGAACATATCCAAGGAGGAAACGCTCCAAGAGGTCCGTGTCTCCCTGATAAGAGGAGTAGTACCCCAAGTAAATTTTAGTCTCGTGTGACGTTTGGAGCCAGCTAGTGGATCCATTTGTAGGTCATCGTGCTGATTCTGAAGTAAAAACATTATTCATTAGGCCAAATATATGGCCCTTTCGTGTCTTCAGTCTTGCTGCGTGGGTATTTTATCGAAGCAATATAATCAGTATGGAAAAGACTTATGTGTCGCTTATAATTGGCCCACATAGCTATGTAAGTCTCCGAATTGGGTCTGCTAAACTGTGACGTTCTTATTTTTCTTTCTCGCTTATCGCCTTTTTAAACAAGTTCTCTATTCAAACCTCTAACACCCATCGCCCCGAAAAAAACGATCGCTTGAATTCGATTTGACTCAGAGACTGAAATGTAGAAACATGACCAACATTTTTTTGGCACGACCTTAAGCACATCAATTGTAAACAAAAAAAATACAAAGTTTCCAGGAGTTTTT